TCCTTTTGGATCTGGAGTACCTGCTCCTCAGTTGTGGCCACTGCCCCAGTTTTAGTATTGTCAGCAGTTTTAGTATTTGATCAGCAGACTGTTCACCCCTTCTTCCATGTCATTAATGAAAAGATTAAACTGGATTGGCCCCAGGATAGAGCCCTGGGGGACCCCACTTGTCACTGGCCGCCATCCTGATGATTCCCCACTAATGGTTACTCTCTGCTTTCGGTCAGTCAACCATGCCCTAATCCATCAGACAGTGCTTTGGTCTATCTCAAAACTCAGTGTCTCAACCAGGATATCATGGGGCACTTTGTCAAAGGGCTTGCTGAAATCCTGGTAAACCACATCCACTGCATCTCCTCTGTCTATCCACCTTGAAACCTTGTTGTAGAATTCCACAAGATTTGTCTGGCAGGACCTGTTTTTGTGGAAGCCGTGTTGTGTGGCTGCCAGTCTCCCTTCCCTATCTAGCATCACTAGATCTCTCACTATTATGAGCCTTTCCTTTGTTTTCCTACAATGAACATAAGGCTAACTGGTCTGCAATTCCCCATGTCTCTTCTACTCTTTTTGAAAATTGAAAGCATTGACGCCACACTCCAATCCTCTGAAACTTCTCCCATTCTCCATGAGGCCTCAAAAATGGAGGCCAGCGGGTGTGAGAGAACCCCTGCCAACTCTTGAAGTACTCTTGTGTGTAACCCGTCAGGGTCCATCGCCTTTGTAACATCCAGTGTCCTGAGGAGCCCCTCGACTTCTGGGGAGGGGGTGACTAATCTGTGCTCCTAAGTCCCCAAAAGCCTATAGCACCCGGTATTCCCAGGCATTCTCCCATCCAAGTACTAACTAGGACTGAGCCTGCTTAGCTTCCGAGATCAGACGAGGTGAGGCACTTTCAGGGTAGTATGGCCATAGGCAATAGAGACACAAGGTAGTCGCTGAGTGTTGTGTGGGTGATTTTAAATGTGTGGATTTAAATTTTTCTCTGCCTCTTGCTCCCTTTCATCACAGTCCTGTCAACTGTAGGATGCCTTGTAGGAACAATCCATGACTGATTTTACAACCTGTGACATGCCCTTCATCAAAGAACTCTTTTGCTTCACTTGCCATATACAGGCAAATATTGAAATACAATTGCATTCTGATGGAAGGAGAGAGGCTTGATTATACAACTGATCCTGCTGGAGCAGTTACTACTTTGTGGCAGGATTAGTTATTCAGTTCTAGTCTTTTCATTTTCTTCCTTTGGAGAGCCTTGTTCCAGTCTCCCTCCCCCCCCTTCTCACACACACACACACACACACACACACACACACACACACAGTTTTGTAAACATGTCTTGCTGTGGTTGTTAGTGACGAAATCGTGTCCGACCTATTGCGACCCCATGGACAACATTCTTCCAGGCCTTCCTGTCCTCCACCATCCCCCGGAGTCCACTCAAGCTCACACCAACTGCTTCAGTGACTCCATCTAGCCACCTCATTCTCTGCCGTCCCCTTCTTCTTTTGCCATCTATTGTAGGCTCTTCCTTCTCATTAGGTGACTGAAGTATTTGAGTTTCATCTTCAGTATCTGGCCTTCTAAAGAGCAGTCAGGGTTGATCTCCTCTAGGACTGTCCTGTTTGATCACATTGCAGTCCAAGGGACTCACAGGAGTCTCCTCCAGCACCACAATTCAAAGGCCTCAATTCTTTGGTGCTCAGCCTTCCTTATGGTCCAGCTTTCACAGCCATACATTGCAACTGGGAAAACCATAGCCTTGACTATGTAGATGTTTTTCTGGAACTCCCTAGCTTTCTCCATGATCCAGCGTATGTTGGCAATTTGATCTCTAGTTCCTCTCCCTCTTCGAAATCCTGTCTGTACTTCTTGTAGTTCTTAGTCCACATATTGCTGAAGCCTAGCTTGTAGGATTTTGAACATAACTTTGCTAGCATGTGAAATGAGTGCAATGGTGTGGTAGTTTGAACTTTCTTTGGCATTGCCCTTCTTTGGGATCGGAATGTAAACTGACCTTTTCCAATCCTGTGGCCACTGTTGAGTTTTCCATATTTGCTGGCATATTGAATGTAGCACTTTTACTGCATCGTCTTTTAGGATTTTGAATAGCTCAGCTGGAATACTGTCACCTGCACTAGCTTTGTTGTCGCTCAGACTTCCGAAGGCCCATTTGACTTCACATTCCAGGATGTCTGTCTCAAGGTCAGTGACCACCCCATCGTGGTTATCGGGGACATTAAACTCTTTCTTGTATAGTTCTGTGTAATCTTGCCACCTCTTCTTAATCTCTTCTGCCTCTGTTAGGTCCCTGCCATTTTGGTCCTTTATCATGCCCATCTTTGCATGAAACTTCCCTTCATATCTCCAATTTTCTTGAAGAGATCTCTGGTCCTCCCTATTCTATTGTTTTCTTCTATTTCTTTGTTCATTTAAGAAGGCATTCTTATCTGTTTTAGCTATTCTCTGGAAATCTGCATTCAATTGGGTGTAACTTTCTCTTTCTCCCTTGCCTTTCGCTTCCCTTCTTTCCTCAGCTATTTGTAAAGCCTCCTCAGAAAGCCATTTTGCTTTCTTGCATTTCTTTTTCTGTGGAATGGTTTTAGTTGCTGCCTCTTGTGCAATGTTGCGAACCTCCGTCCATAGTTCTTCAGGCACTCTGTCTATCAGATATAATTCCTTAAATCTATTTCTCACCTCTACTGTATATTCATCAGGGATATAATTTAGGTCATACCTGAGTGGCCTAGTGCTTTTCCTGACTTTCTTCAACTTAAGCCTAAATTTTGCAACCAGAAGCTCATGATCTGAGCCACATTCAGCTCTTGGTCTAGTTTTTACTGACAGTATAGAGCTTCTCTATCTTTGGCTGCAGAGCACATAGTCAATCTGATTTCTGTGTTGACCGTCTGGTGATGTCCATGTGTAGAGTCATCTCTTGGGTTGTTGGGAAAGAGTGTTTGCTATGACCATCGTATTCTCTTGACAAAATTCTACTAGTTTGTGCCCTGCTTCATTTTGTACTCCAAGGCCAAAATTGCCTGTTATTCCGGTTACATTTTGGCTTCCTACTTTAGCATTCCAATCCCCCATGATGATAAGGACATCATTTTTTGGTGTTAATTCTAGAAGGTGTCGTAGGCCTTCATAGAACTGGTCAAGTTCAGCCTCTTCAGCACCAGTGGTTGGGGCACAGACTTGGACTACTTTGATGTTGAATTTTTTGCCTTGGATTCGAACTGAGATCATTCTGTCATTTTAGAGATTGTATCCCAGTACTGCTTTTCCTACTCTTTTATTGACTATGAAGGCTACTCCATTTCTTCTGAAGGATTCTTGCCCACAGTAGTATACCTGATGGTCATCTGAATTAAATTCACCCATTCCTGTCCATTTTAGTTCACTGATTCCTAAGATGTCAATGTTCAGTCTTCTCATCTCTTGTTTGACCACATCCAGCTTGCCTTGATTCATGGATCTTACATTCCAGGTTCCTATGGAGTATAGATCTTTACCTCATCGGACTTTCCTTTCACCACCAGGTACATCTGCAACTGAGTGTCCTTTTGGCTTTGACCCAGTTGCTTCATTCTTTCTGGCACTACTAGTACTAGCCCTCCGCTCTTCCCCAGTAGCATATTGGACACCTTCCGACCTGAGGGGCTCATCTTCCAGCGTCATATCTTTTTGCCTTTTGGTTCTGTCCATGGGGTTTTCATAGCAAAGATACTGGAGTGGGTTGCCATTTCCTTCTTCAGTGGATCACATTTTGTCAGAGCTCTCTGCTATGACCTGTCAGTCTTGGGTGGCCCTGCACGGCATAGCTCATGGCTTCATTGAGCTACGCAAGCCCCTGCGCCATGACAAGGCAGTGCTTAATCAGCTGAGGATGTGGTAATGTTTTTTGAGTGTGCTGATTAAATTTCAATGTAATTGTGGCAGTCATTGAACTGTTCTAATGGCTTCATTTCAGGAGTAGTTATAACATCATTAACTTCATGAATATTTTCTAACAGAGATCTCAATTCTCCAAGTGCCTGTATTTAGGTAGCACCATCTCTGCACTGGGCGGGGGGGGGGGTGGCTACAAATTTTGGGGAAACTCAAAGTTTGCAGAAGTATGAAAAAAATTGGGGAAAACACCTCGAGGGAGCACACACTTCAAATAGCCCAGTCTGGTCCATCACCTGTTAAGATATAAGTCACACCGCTAAACAATGGCTTGTTTTTACACAAATAATGAGCTTGAGTGCACCTTACTCCTTTTCCCTTCTTTTGGTGTACTTTCCTGCAGGAAAAACGGATAGCAGGGGTTGGTATCCTTCAGGCTTTTGTGATCTACTTTGTTCTTAGTAGAATCCTGAGGTCCAAGTGTAAGGTAATAGCTGATTAAGTTAGGTATAACTTTTAGAAACAAGTTGTAGCTACTTATTTGTACTAGAACTGGAGCTCCTGAACAAATCCTTCAAGACACAAATCTATTGCTGCTTTCTTCCATGCGTCCTTCATATTAGAAGCCTGATTTACAAGTCAAAAAGTCTTTTTTATGATCTTTAAAGGATTGGGAATTAGAAATCCTTGCTGATCAAATAGCTTGGAGATCTACCAGTAGATTCCAATCTGTCTTCTGAAACTGGTTTCCCATGACATCTGAACTGGGAAAGTGGAAAGGATGTACTTGTGGTCTTGGCTTACTCAGGTACAAACTAAGAATGCTTCATTGGAGTGCCCTTTAAATCTGAGCCAGGGCTTGGATGTGGAGGCACAAATCGGAGCTTAATGAGGGGTGCACCTTTTAAAATGGTTGACAATGAAGGCAAATGGGTGTACATTCAGTATTTCTTTTTTCTTCTCATTTAATATTACCTAATTCTAAGTAGAGAATGAATGACTGAATGAATGAATGAATGAATATATATATATATATATCGGGGGGGGAGAGGGAGAGAGAGCGTGCGCGTAATTCTTTCAAGAGGTACACTGTCCTTTTATTTTATCAACAGTGGGCTTTGCTAAAAATCGGGCAGTAGAGCAGAGCTCCGGGACCTACCTCTGTTTTCTGGATTCTGTAAGTATATGCTTTATTTATACATTTATTTAGCATTTATATTGTGCTAAGTACAGGGTGGCTCAGGGAAATGGGAAATTATGGAACTAGGAGTTGGCGACCTTGGGCATTGGCAGTTGTTTGGAACCAGTGTGACCTCATCTAGAACCCCTTGCTGTTAGTTATAATGGAGCAGTGGAGTGGTGCGCAATGAGCATTCACTGTAAAAGCCTTTTATGAGAATGGTGATAGTGTGACTGCTGCACAAAGGGAATTTCGGCATCATTACCAGTTAGGATGTCATGATCTTGTCTGTCTGCTCATGCGATTACAACATGGTTGTGTAATTCTGAAGAAACAAGTTCAGCCCTAAAGTACTCCCCAGTAATTGCCTAAAGAAAAAAAATGTTCATCACACTTTCCAGTTGCTTTTTTATCTGACAGATAGAAAAAAGATGCTTTTAAAAGATATTTTTTGATATACAGAAAAAGAAAAGGAAAAAACAAAAACATACAATCACACAGCAATGTATTACTTGAGAGTAATATCAATGATGTATTTATACACACACAACATTATTTTAAGGAGGATGCAAGGGGAACACACACACATTGAGTGTGTTCACACATAACGACAAGCCATGTTGGAGAGCTAGCTTCTCATTGTGAATTCAGCATGCATGGTGGAGCATGACCTGTTTGGTTACCATGAATCCCCATAGAGATTCAATGGTTTTTTTCTAAGGTTTGCATGCGTCACCATTGCTGGTTGGTATATGTGATTTCATTTACCATGTTTTCCGATCATTACTCCTTTGCAGCTGCTCTTGCCAGCTCAGTATCAGAAGCCACTACAGCTGCCATTTTCTGTTGCCCTGTTCTGCCTAGTGGCTGCTGAGTTGCCAGCAGCGGGATGCTGACTGGCTGTCTCTGTGTTCCCTGCCTTCCCTCTTGGCATGCATTCCCTGATGCCTGGCTGCCAGTCTCTCTGCTGCATTGCCTTGCTGTTATGCTAGCCTTGCTACCATCCCTACCTTGCCTCATTGTTTTGCCCCCTTGGGAAAGCATACCCAATAGGGTGCATTCCAGTTGTCCCTGGCATTGGTGTCCATGCTGCTATACTCTGTGTGTTGCACTCTTGGAGGGAGGCGACCCAACAGCATGTGTGAATTGAGTAGATGTGGGGAGGGAGCTTCAGGCACATGTGCAGGGAGGCAGAGGAGGGCAAGTGTGCTTTTGGGCATAGAGTGTGGCGGCAGCAGTGGAGGGTGCTGCTCTGTTACTCCTGCAGAGCAACCATGCTATTCTAATGAGTGGATGGTGCCTCTGTGGGGTAGCAGGCAAGAGAAAGGAAAAGTGACTGGCTGGGGCCATGCCCAGGAGAGTGTGTGGGCTAATGAGGGAGAGGTAGGTGGGGTAAGCAGGAATGGTGCACCCTGGGATTGATTCTTACCTGTGGGAGCTGGTGGGATAAGTGCCACCATTTGGGGAAAGATGAAGGTGTGTGGGAACTACTCATGAGCAGTTACCACACAAATATGCAAACGTAAGACACATGGTGAAATACCATGGACTGGTTTAGCATTAGTGTCATGGCTGTTTTTTGCTACATGGACTTCTGTGGTGATTTTCTTTGGTAATTAACCAATTGGAAAGGTATAAAACCTCTTCTGCATACAAGATTATCTAGCACAAATATAGTTTCATTTATGTAATGAAGGACTTGGCTGATTTTTACCTTTTTATTTTGTGGAACTCTAGCAGTGATAGAGCAAGTAGAAATATTCCATTACGATTAACTGATATTCTACTGTTTCTCCTAAAGGAATGATGGTCTTTCCATGTTGTATGAAAAGTGGAGTGAGGATCTGGGACATGGACAGTCAATAATTTTGAATGGCCCAACTAGACACTTCTGTCATGGGGAGAATAAAACATGCATGGACTAGGTCTGGTTCATGCAGTTAATATAGGAATCATAAAGTGAGGAAACATTTGGACAAGTGAATGTTGTCCCTTGATTCAGATATAATCATGGACTTGGCAGTTATGTACATTTCTTAATTAAAGCAAGGATCCAAATAGTGTGCTCTGCTAGAGATACAGAAGCCTTACACATATGCACATAGCTTCTCTGCATGTAGCAGCTTCCATATTCATTTTTATAGTGTGTTAGTTTGCACTTGAGTCTGGTTTCTTTCACTGAAATTAATAGAGAAGCTATATATAATCTTTACAGGCCTACACACTTTTGGATACAGAAAGCTTATTTATCAATGAATTTCAACTCTTATGCAACTGTTTCCCGTATTATATTGAAACTGCCCTTACTTATACAGCATTTATATTTTCCTTCCTTATTTTTCTATTTTCTGACAGGTATTTTTTTAAAAGAGGGTGAAATAACTTTTTGGTCCAAAGTATTCAAATAGGTATATATTTCAAACACAGGCACAATCTACTGGCATGAACATAAATGTTTTATTGTTTGAACCCTTTGAAATTATTCCAAATAAAATGTTTATGATCTACTGCAGCACAACTTGAGTCTGGAAAAATATTCATTAGAAAGGGTCTAGGTCAGCCCCCCTGCCCTTCATTCTCCTTGCATGTTTGCTTAGTGGAAGAATTTTGAGTTACCAGAATGTTAAAGTGTTATTTTGCAAAGTAAGTTGAGAACCTGGTGTTGATAAACAAATGTGTTTTCTGTGAATTTTTCCTGTGTTTAACCATATGGAGGGAAGGGAGACATTCCAGAAAAGATATTCATCAAGGAATTACTTGGTATTCTCATTGGAAGCAGTTTCTCAATGCTGTGCAATAACTGCTGAAAAACAGATGTTACCAGCTGTGTGACATAACATTGTCTGTGACTGCTGCAATGTACCTCCCTTGTTTCTCGGTTCACCAATTCAGTATTGAATTATTCAGAATATAATGTTGGTGTCAGTCATGTGGAATGTGCCAGATTATTGCCAAGAAATTGACCTTCAAGAAATGTAGCTGCATGTACATATTCATGTTCACTATAGGCTAGAAAAACAGTTTCAGTATTTCTTCTGTGTATTACATATACAAGAAAAAACTATTGCTTTCTTTCATAGTTTTGGTATGTATGTCATTCATTAGAGAATGTGGTACAAATCCCTTTACTCAGTTCTTTACTCATCACGAGACCATATTACTCTTGCCTGTTTGACAGCAATTGATAACAGCCTTGTGTTATCATTTAAAGTGGTAACAAGGATTTTTGGAGCTCCATCACTGGGACAATAGGGGAGCAAGGATACATATACTGCTTTAGTACTTCACTACCTGATATGGGCTTGGTGACCCTACCCTAGGTTTTTTGATTGATACAGGATGTATTGGAGTGTCAGAAGTTGGGGACATCTAAAAGTCTTGATTTCAAATTTTATTTTAGAATTGATTACTTTTTGCTTGCACATTTCTTCTTAAATAACTGGAAGGTTCAGGTTATTGTAGGGGATCTGTTTCAACATACATAATGTTTAAATAGGCTCAGAGACTTTCCTGATTTTCTTTTCAATTGACCATAGCTAACTCTTTGATAGTAGAACATAGTTTGTTAGCCGAGGTACCACTGTATCAATAAACGCCTTGCTTCATGAACAAATCAGGTCACGAACAAAAATTTCTGAAACATTTTGACTTGGGTCGCTAACACTGCTTTGGGTGGCGACCAAGACTGCAGCCATCTCTCCCCCCTTCCCCCAGTGGGAGATGGCCACAATCTCAGTTGCTTTCGTGCAGGGAAGGCATGCGTGATCAGAGGCGCGCTGCTGCAGGAAAGACGGGCACAATCTCGGACATCTCCCCCCCACCAACCAGCATGATCGTTGCCATCTCTCCACCCTACCCCTGTGTGGGGAGATGACCATGATCGTGCTGGGGGTGGTGGGGGGGGAGATGGCCGAGATCGCGCCCACTTCTCCCTCCCCCAGCACACCATTTGCACCTGTCACTTCCCCCAGTGTGCCCGTGATTATGCCTGTCTCTCCCCCTACCCTCCGGCACGCCGGGACGATGGGCGTGTGCCGGGATGATGGGCGCCCGAAGGGATGACAGGTGCGATCTCGGTCATGCGGGGCGGGGGCAGGAGATGGCCGCACTTGTGCTTGGGGTGGGGGGTGGGAGAGTTGTTTGTTGTTGTCACTTGCTTCACATTTTTCTGATGTAAAAAATGGTTACAGAATGGATTATTTATTTTGAACCTTATGGGTTCAAATCCATTCTGTAGTTTTGAAATTTACATTTCATAGGTTAACTCTTAAGTGTAGTACACTTTCAGATAGCAATTTTCTGAATGTGAAGAACCAAACATGCTGTGGAAAGAGAAAATTGGTACCTAAAATATTTCCTCCCTAATGGAATACTTTAAAATATCCTACTTTAAAGTTCATTTTAGGTTGGCCATATAGATACCCACTAGTTTTTGGGCTTGGTCAACCATATCCTGTGACAACTGCCTTTAAAAATGCCGTCTTTTATTCTAGTGAGCTTTCTTTCCCAAAAATTATTAATGAAAGGATTATTTTGAACGAAAATAGTTAAGGGTTTAAGATTTAAAATAAAATGGCAGATATATAAAAAAAGGTCATATTCACTTCATTTAAGTTTTCTGGTTTTCTTTTTTCACTTTTTATGTGCAACTCACTGCAGGTGGATTCTGATAACCAGGGGCCATACAGGAGCAACTTTTAAAAGCCTCTGTAGTTGCATGTTGCAACTAATTCTGGCTTCTGCCAACTAAGTTAACCTTGTGCATATCACTGCATGTTTTTGGATTTTTGTGGGAAATAAGCAGCTATCACCTCATGCAGTTTGTTTGTTTGTTTGTTTGTTTGTTTGTTTATTTATTTATTTATTTAGACAGCTTATATGCTGCCCCCTTCGCATAAGCCTCGGGGCGGCTTACAATCATTAAAATCCCACATATAAATACAAAAAACCCCCAAAAAACATAGAATAAATAAAATACATAAAATAGTGGAAACAGCCTGGTCAGTTTAAAATCAATAAATAAACCTTAACAATTAAAATAGCGTTTAAATAAAAAGGTCTTGGCCTGGCGCCGAAAAAGAAATAACGAAGGCACCAGGCGGACCTCTCTGGGGAGCACATTCCATAGGTTGGGCGCCACCGCAGAGAAAGCCCTCCTCCAAGTAATGTTGCAATGGTTATGTGGTGCATGTTTATGTTGTCAAATAATTTTGACTACTATGTGGTTTGAGTTCATTTTAATTCAGATTCTTATGTGGAGACTCTTATCAGGGGAACTAAATTCATACCCCTTTCTTCTGCTCTGCAATATGAGCTTGAGTTATTCATTTGTATGTTTTACTTTGGCAGACTTGTTAATTTTTTTTTAGCAAATCTTATAACTTCTTTGAAATGCACATTTAAAATTGTGAAGCTCTCTGGATCTTTTTGGACAAGAGAAAACCAATTCAGACATCCAGTTAGGTTCTTATGTTTACTGTATCTTGGCTTCAATAGAGGGTGGAGGCTGCTAGCTGGGTAGAGAGGAATAAATGCTTCTGATAGCTAAAAGGAATAGTGAGTGTTTGGAGTGTGTGTGGGGTGTTTGTTTTTCAACAGAGCACCTCTGTTGAACATTTTGGACTTCCCTTTTAATCAAAGCACAGAAAAAGTTTCTTGGGGTGGGGCTAAAGATATTTAGGATATCTTTACAGATACTGTCTGTGATATTTGAAGTGAAGGAGATAACTCCTAATAAATGTCCTAGCATTATGAATTGATATTACTGTATTTAAAAAGTTCTGCTTGGTCTATAAACAGAACATCTTAGCCAGGAGTTGAGTCCTTGTCAACTGGGCTTATTTAAAAATTCCCAATGACTTTCTGTGTGAAATAAAGGTCTTTTCAATCTTCCTTCTTCTTTTAACAAATCGCTTACCTGCTGAAAATGAAGTTTGGAGAAGGGAAAGTATGTGCTTAACCATCAAATTCCTTTTGGATTATTTTGAGTGTATGCTATGAAATCATTCCTGGTTTAGAGGTTGTTTATAATGATTCATTTGATAGTAGAGTGTTTGAATTCTCTTTCCATGCCATAGTTTTAGTGACATGATTTTTATAGAAATGCTGTTTTATATTGTGCATCTAACAAGGGGATATTATAGCAAAATCTATTAAAATATTTTTTCTCTTGAGGTTGCATTTGTTGGTGTCATTCCCATCAGTGGGAATGACTGTACAGGTGGTAGATTGAATTTGCTTGCTTCCTTGTAATCCACTGTGTGTCCCACAAATTTACACTGTAGGTTTGACAGATACTCCTGGAATAGATTTGGAAGATGGGGTGGGCTGCAGGGGGATGAGAGAAATGAAATTCTTCCTGTGTGATTGGATGCAACCTTTATTAACTTTAGCACTTTATGCTTGAAGCCACTTTAACCTGTTTCCAAATTGAAATCACTTCAGCTGGCAATAGAATGCTAAGGTTTTTACCCCAGCCAACCATGGGTTGATTACCTTTGGTTGACCACTATGTGCAAACTGGGTCAGTACATGAATCAAAAATTGTCTACCATTTTTATGCAATTGATTTTTTTATGCAATTGATTCTCTTTTTTGTTTCTTTGTTTAGCTTTAACCTTGAAATGTATTTATTAGATCCAGTAGTGCAAATATGTTTTTCAGGCATATCATTTTTGATAAAGGTTAATGCTGAGTTGGTTTCAAGCTTAATCAATTCTAGAATAGGGTGAGGCAATTAGTAACTTGTTCTAGCCTTCCAGGAAGTCTCAGCTTTCCCTCTCAAATTATAGTTCTTGATTTTAGGGGTATCTTGACTATTCACCTCAGTTGCTTTCTTTTGTTCAAGCTGAGGTATAGGTAATATGTACTAGTCCTGTCCTCCTGTGTGAACAGCGGCAGAGGTTTTCCTTTGGTATACCTCAGGTGATCATCTCTGTATGCAATCCAAGGCACAATCAAATGGAAGTGAACAGCTGAAGTACATAAGAACTTTCATTAATTTCATGGGGGTGTGAGAGGAAGGGGTTTAGTGAGCTTTTTACAAGAACCCTTCTACATGGTTGACTGAAATGTTAGAATTCAGGACTTTACATTTTCTTAATATTTAATTTACTAGATGAAAGAAGTGTTTAAACTTGTGGGAACATTCAGGAATATAACTGTTCACCTACAAGCAAACATTTGATCCTCGCTGTCTACCATCATGTTCATGTAGCATGTAGAAACAATTGCTTGTATCTGAGGGGCTGAAGTTCATTGTAAAATAATGATGTTGAGGAAGATGAGGATGAGAGAGTAGGTAAAAAAAAACCTTCCACTATGAGAAAAGGTTGCTAATTCTTTAATCTTGGTCAATTAGAATATGGCTTGTTAAAATTAGTTGCTGATCTAGAGCAGCCTTCTGCTACCTGGTGGCCTTTGGATCTCAGCTCCCAGAATTTCCATCCATCAGGTCCATTGACTGAGAATTCTGGGTGTTGCAGTCCAAACATGTCTGAAAGGTTGGGAAAGGCTGGCCTAGAGGTATTAATTGCTTTAATCCATAGCTAATTAAATGAGAAATGCAGACAATTTTTTTGTGTCAGATAGATACATTATCAAAGGGTTTTGCATGGAATGAATTTAATATTTTGGCTCAAATCATAATGAAACCCCTTATCCTTGTTATCCTTAGTCTCCCTAGAGTAAAAGCAGAATAGCATGTCTTGTATACTTCCTGCAAGAGTTGCTAGAATAAGAATTTTACAGCACCCTTCATGTTAATAGTTTCTTATGAATACTGATGAATATTAATAGCATTTTGCTGAAGACTCATAATTTGTAAAGAAAGGAATTGGCAACCAGTGAAACATAGAGAATGGGTGGTATGTTAGAAAAAATCTGGAGCCTTTTTGTACAATTGTGTAGATTGTATCATTCAAGGTACAAAGCATCTTAGTTTGAATCTATGTTTGGAGGACAAAATGTTAACACTACTTTCAACTCTAGTCTTACTGTTAGCAATATGAAACTTAGTTTACTGCATAAAATAGGTTGAATGGATGTAAGCATTTAACATACAACTGCATAACTATTACACCATGTCATTAGATAGTAAGTAGACCTTACCAGAATGCTAGTACAAAGTGATTCCTCTTATGGGTATAGTTTGGAGTTAATGGCTTTCTTTGAATTTTGCCTATTTGCTATTATGAATTACTAATGAGTTGGGACTTGAAGATGAAAGTTTTAGGAAACTACAGCTGCATGCTTAGACAGAAAAAATGCTTCAACTCTTAGCATGCCAGGTAAACATTTTAGGTGAGAGTTGTAAGACTTTTCTGTTTGAATATGCATAAGATTGTGCCTTAAGTAGTTTTAAGTTAACTTACTGTAAGCCATTGAGTCTAGTAGGGTACTGATTCATGCTCACCCATCCCCAGAACCAGTTCTTCATTGCCATGTATTGCTTATTTTTTGTAGAGTTGCTTGGTTCTATTTCGTATTAGTCCTTGAATGGAATTGTTTTAGAGCATGATGCAGACCTGGGTAAAATTAGTTTGTTTTTAATATCATTTTTCTACCTCAGTTTATGTTAAGTGGATTAAATTTGGGGATTGAATTTTAGTACATTTAAATAGTGTGGTATCTAGACAGTGGCCAGTATTTGTAGCCTATTGTGTGCTTTACAGTTTTCTCTTTCGGCTAGTTAATCTGGGAGCGATCTTGGCAGGCTCTTTTTCTCATTAAGTGATAGTGTGCCACTTATTACAGGATGATGTGATGATGCCCCAGAGAATAAGGCTGCAGTGGGACGCTAATCTTCAGCATCCAAAAAGTGTGAGTATTTCTCTGTCTTTCCTTTTGACAGTGCGTCATCCAGTGAGTCATGAAAACTTGGAAAATGTAATAGCATTAAGTATGGTATATAGATGGCAATACTGTTATTGCTGTGGCTCAAACATTGCAACTTACTCTTAAAAGGTTTCTAAATCCTAATTATTTCTTTGTCATCTTGAAAATTTCATGAGACATGGTGTTATGTAAAAGGATGATTACCAAGAAATAGTAAATAAAACAAAAAGGAAACTGCCAGTATTAGCTGATGAAATAAAAATTAATGACTCAACAGTTCTGTAGTCTTTTGAAAGAATGAACAAATAATAACTTACTATTATGTAACTGTTTTCTTAATTGTTTATATTTTTTGAGTATTTCTTATAACAACTCTGTAAGGTAGTTTAGTGTTACTGCAGTATTTCAAAAGGAGACAAGCAGATGGACAAGCAGTAACTTGTCTGTGGCCAGTGAATTAGTGGTTCAGTTCAGAGTTGAACAAGGCTGTGGTATTAAATTGATATGAAAATGAGAGTTTCCTCTTCCTGCACTATTGAAACAGTTTGTCTTGTAGCACAGGAAGCAATGGGATCCTATGCTTAGATAAACAGAGCTTTTTTTTTGGCTGAATGTAATTAAATTTTCCTGGGAGTGGGGGGAAATAGGGAAAAAAGCCTGCAAGCCTCATACTAGTGCTGCTTATGTGGTGGGAGGGAAAAGTGAGGGGCCCGGTTTGTATCAGATTTGGAGGCTGCCACAAATTGTAATAGAATGAATGTAGGGTAGAAGTACAAGGCTCTCCTATGCAACTTGCCATGCAGTTTGAAGACTTCATTGGGTTAGATAAATAGCCAGCCCAGCTGTAGATGTTACATTGAATAAAACATTTCAAGTTAAGCTGAACTGATTTAAATGTTGTATGCTGCATGTCTAGAGAGCCTGAAGAGTTCAGTCTTGATCCTTACTGTTTTTGTTCTTTAATTGGTTCATTTTATATTTAAAAAACAAACTTAGCAGACTTGGCTTTTCTTAGCTGAATCTGAAACAAATTCACATACAGGAATTGTGGGAGGAACGAATGTTAGGAAGAAAAGTAAGTGTGCTTTCCTTTAATTTTTATATAATGCTGTAATGCAGTATCTTCTAGCCTTGATTAGTCAAAGATACTGAGTTCCATTCAGTATGGATACTGAGTTCCATTGAGTTCAGTGAGACTGACCTGTAAGCATGTAAAGAATTGCAGCATAAATTTGACTGAAATTTATGTATGACTTACTTAAAGCTAATTATCTTTTTGTAAAATGTAACCCTTCCTCACAAAAAAGCCTCTGAGAAAGCTTGCTAAAATGTTGATTGAAAGTGTTTAGGGCAGGGGTCCTCAAACTTTTTCAACAGGGGGCCAGTTGAAAGGTGGCGCCTGCAGGTGTGGGCTGGCAAGGCGACGGCACCTGCGTGTGTGGCAAGGCGGTGGGTGTATGCGTGGCGAGGCGGTGGCTCCCGTGGGTGCGGGCCGGTGAGGTGGTGGCAGTGGCAGCAGTGGGCACAGACACAGTCAGGCGAGTCCAAAACCTCTGAGGTGGGCCGGATAAATGGGCATGGTGGGCCAGATGCAGCCCACAGGCTGTAGTTTGAGAACTCATGGTTTAGGGCAGGGGTCCGCAACCCACGCTCTTGAATCCCTCTGCTGCGGCTCCGTTGCCCAAAATATGCATCACAGACGCTGATCTGCAACCGAGTTACAAAATACTAATAGGTGATGATGAGGCATCCACTCAGGAACGCTGGGCTAGCAGGTTAAGTAAATTGCAACATTGCAGGGAAAGAGTGGAACAAGCTTCCTGCAGGCTCTCATGTTACCAAAACTGCTGAAAAGATTCTGTTTGCCCAAATGTAATCTCCTTCATCTGAATGTTAAAAGCTGCGCTTGGTACCTGTCACAATTCACAGCACTTGACTGTTTATTTGCTAATCAGTCGCTAAACATACCTGGATCTGCAACTTCCCCTAGTAGGCCAACCATGGATAAATCGAAGAAAAGTTTCTGAAGAAAACCAAACATTTAATGATACGTGGTAGATTCATTTGTTTTTACTTCTGATGAACTTATGGGGTTTGCTGTTTAATGCATGCAGCCCTTTAGCACTGACTTTGACTCTTCAGGAAGCTGTTCTCTTATTTAAAATATATGAAAGGAGTCCTACTAGTTTATAATGTAAGATTAAAAGTAACACTTTTTAGTGACTGAACAAGAGCTGCAGCTAAATCATAATGAAGATATAGCATTAAGATGAAAAACTATATATGTAGTGTTATCTTCATTTTAGATGTCAAAAGGGTTTTGTGGCTCCCGGTGTTTTCTTTTGTGTGGGAAATGGGTTCACATGGCTCTTTGAGTGTTAAAGGTTGCCGACCCCTGGTTTAGGGGATCATAGTTAATGTCAAGTCAATTGACTTTTTCTAATAGAAAAGTTTTCTATAGGCAGTCCTGATGCAACTGAGATATTGTGGGATTCCTCTTCCTTAGAACATTACAGACCCAAGGCTCATAAAAATACTCAGTTTTAATAGCTCATAGGTCATTTTGGGTCATTCTTTTGGGAAAATCCTTGGTAACCATGCAATCATACATGCATTTGTCATGAGACTTTACAGAATTCTCCTGTACATCTATGGAAGCAGTGTTTGAAAGGGGAATTCTGGAGAAAATAAGTTCAGGTACCAAAGGTCAAAGTTTGCACAAAGTTTTGGGAAGTCCTTGCATAGTTTATCCTGAATTTTATTATGATGAAGCTGTGGTGGTGCAGGAAAAAACTGAATGCTTTTCTTTCTGTCTGCAAAAAAAGGAAAAATGTTTTGCAGCAGTAATAGCAAAGTTTTACTGAAAGTGGTAGTTAAGACTGAAATTAGTGGAAAATACCAAGTTCACATTTTTAAATCTTTTTGAAGCTGCCACCAAGTCTTTCTCATTGGACTAGTGAACTGGACAGATGTTTCTGTTAGTGTAAAAGAGCCACTCTTCTGAACAAACTGGTGCTTTTAAGGTAGCAAATACTTGTATGTAGAATTTGGTATTATTTTGCTTCAATTTTTGTTTCACATTTGTTTAATTTCAGAACAGTGGAACAGACATAAGGGGATTCTACTAACTTTCCCAATTTAGAAAAAATGTTTTTGCTCATTTCTGGCTGCTCCCAGTAGTGGAAAATCTCCATTGTGCAAGTAGTAGGTTCTGCTTGTGCAAAGAAATGGGTAGGAAGGCCTCTTGCCCAACAGAATGGGCCGTTGGGCAATGGTCTTCTTGGATAATGCTCACTGTGTTTTTGGAGGAGTCGGCTCTCTGTGATGGTACAAGATCAGAAGTACAAGTAGCTCCAAGGATGGAGTAGGGAGTATAAAAGAGAAGATTTTGTGCTGAAAGATAAAATAAGATTAGCTAAATGAGCCAATGCTGGGTAAATTTTATAGTATTGCACAGCCATGTTTAATAGATAAAACTGTGCAAAGGAGTATCCATTATAAGTGAACTATATTTAAACATGAGGTGTACTTTGCTTCTGTTACTTATCAATCAAGAGGTGACACAAAGGTACAGTTAGTACCCATTAGTCCAAAACTCAGCTACCATGCTGATCTGATTCTGCTGCAGCTTTCAAACACCTGTTTAACTTGGAAGTATGAGACAAAGTCCTTTTCAAGTGAATGAGCTGAGACAAGCTTTGCTAATGCAAAGGTTTGTTTTAACATTGCCTGTTTGAGGAAATACAGTGGTGGGATTAATTTTATCTTCAATTTCATTTTTGAGAATAGCTGTACTAAGTGAAAATGTTTGGCACTTGTTTTCTTCTTCTTTAGAGAGGAAAATGGCAGGGAAAGAGCCCTTTGTGAGGCAATAAGGGATGGGGCCAGATGGATAATAATCATTCTTTTTCTTTGAACTAGAATGAAAACAACAGAAACTAAATGGTATAATTTTTGGGCAATAATCCATACCACAGTATTACGATGCATAACTTGGCAGGCATACTTATTAAAGAGGCCCACAAATGACTAAGCTTAAAGAGTTTAATGTGTGCATTTGTTTTGTTTTTTTTGGTAGTAAAAGATGCATATTGAGTAGGTACATATGAGCTCATACTCTGCCTGGTTTCATTTAACATGTTTGAACGTGTTGCATAGGAGTGAGATGTCAATAAAAAGAGATACAGAATAAGTATCATGCTTGTTCATTATTCTTCAGGTGTCTTTAACCATGGTTGCTGCAGGCCATTGGTCACCTGTGCCTTTGCTTTTTCTTGCTGGATGTGCCATGTTCCCCTCACCTTCATTGAGTTGTTGGGCTGCTTTCATTGCTGATTACATTAGCATCCATTCTTGTACAGCTGCTAGTGAAATGAAAATGGATTTATTTCTTGGCTTGTTTAGGACATCAGACAAATTGGAAAGCTATAATTCTTATTCCATTGCTTCTGTATCACATTTAGGAGCTCTAACACGTTGATAATTGTTCAGAGATAGCATTACACAGTGCAACAATTGAGACTTCTGATTTATTTGCCATACAGACAGTCTCCAGGTTATGAACAAAGTCCATTCCTGAGAACATCTTTAAATTGAATTTGTATGTCATGTACATGTGGGTTATATTTAGCATGTTCAAGCCAAATGTTTGTCTTAGAATGCATATATGCTTATCTTTTTGTGAATATAAAACACTTAAGAAATGCTTCCATATATAGGGGCACAGGGCCTCTGCAAAAGTGGAAAAAACTGCAAATATTTCTACCCCCACCCCCAAACCTTAACTCTTAACTCTTAATAGCGCTGATCATATGTATACTGGATTGTTTCTCTCCTTTCTCTCTCATACCTTGTTCTGATCCAGCAGGGGTCCCTTATTATATTCCTATGTTCTTATTTCCTGCCCTCCCTTTCATTCTCCAGTGCCTTCTCATTGCACCAAGGAAATGCCAGAGATTTCCTTCTCCAGATGGGCAAGACAAGAA